ACTTTGTACAGCTCCACACAGATCCCCCACTCAGGGCTTCATTAGCATTGGAAGTGTAGTCCAAGTCTGATAGAGGCAAAGCTTCCATTCTGAGCCTCCAGCTTTGGGTTCAGCTCCCGCAGGGCTCCTAACGAATCAGTCTACTCTCTAAGTCTAAAGCCTTCCCAAGCACTCCCTGCTTCCGGCCAGCAAGGATGCACTGCTGGTCCTTCCCTGGACCCCACCTACAAGACACGCCAGACACAAGAGCTTCCAGCACAAGGACATTCCTTCTTGCTCCTTGTCCTTCTGAGGAGAAGCTGCTGCTTATATCTCCCATCAACCCTGACTTTCAGTCACATGCACTCCATTCATTCTCTAAGTCCCATGAATTAGGAGGAAAACCAGGCATCATTCAGAGCCAGGCTCTGAACTCCTTAAAGCAAAGGTGGGGAGCTTCTGGTCCTTGGGTTGGATCTGTCCCATAGCAAGTCTCCATGCTGCAGACCAGAGGTCTAGAGCTATGGTTTCCCCCTGCTGGGCTGGAGCTATGAGCACTGGCTAATGGTGAGGAGGGAAGCTCCACATGCTGTCCTCTCCTGCAGGCATCACCCCCACAGCTCCTATTGGCCAGAAGCTGTGACCAATGGGAGCTGCAGGTGAGGGTAGTGCACAGAGCCAGCTGCTTCCCCAGGGACCATAGGATGAACTGGCCACTTCCAGGAGAAGTGCAAAGCAGGGTAGGTAGGGAGCCTGCCTTAGTCCCACTGCCACCTGAGGTAAGTGCCCTGCGCTCCCTTCCACACCCTGCCCCAGCCCTGAGCCTCCTTTCACATGATGACTCCCTCCCAGAGCTCCCACCCACAACCCAGAGCTCCCTCTTGCACCTCAACCTCCTCATCCCCTCCCACACTCCTGAGCCCAAATCCCCTCCCACTTCTGAGTCCTCTTCCCCAGACGTGAGCCTGCTTTAGCACCCTAACTTCTGCCCAGACCCTCATACACTGCCCTGGGCCCACCCCTGCACTCCAAACCCTTGGGCCTCACCAAACTCCTTGTCCCTAGTACCCTCCCAGAGCCTGCACCCCCAGTCAGAGCCTTCATCCGCTCCCACACTCTAACCCTCTCCCTCAGCTTGAAACCTCCTCCCACATCCTGAACCCTCAATTTTGCCCCCCCCTGCTGGAACTTAGGGGAAGCCCAGAGCCCCTGCACTCCCCATGGGGCTGTATATGGCCTGTGATGGATTTTTCTGTGGGTCAGTGGCTCTGATAGGAAAAAGGTCCCCAACCTCTGCCTTAACAACCCTGCAACAGTTTGGAAATGGGTCTGTCAAGGCTATTTCCCACTCTGGCACGATGAATGAGAAATGGGGGCCCACAAAAGCAACCCAAAACCTGATTTCTACAGGCTTTGGTACAAAAAGTCTCCCCAAAATCCTAATACATGGATTTTGAGGAATCTGCTGCCACCATCAAGTGCTTTTGAACCCACAAACAGGGGTGGACACTTGAAACCAACCCCAGGGCACCCCAAGCTCTTTTCTCCAAAGAGGCTGAAAAGAAAAGAGAAAAATACAAGCTGCAGTCTGTGATTGCTGTCCCCTCATCAGAAGCAAGCAGATATCCACAGACAGATTTTCCAGGACACAGAAATGAACCAATATCAGGTTAATTAAAAAAGAAAGAACTTTTATTATTAAAACAATACCCCAGTTACAAGCACAGTTGGAATGGCTAGATGGTAAGAGCCACCAATTAATATACTCATTGAGGATTCCCCCATGGGCCAAAACTTAGTTGCAAAAGAGAGAAAAAAACATTTCTAACAGCACAGACATCAGATCCAAATTCCCAAATCAGAAAACAATAAAACCTGACGGATTTATCTAGACTTTACCCTACTTATACACTATGAAGAGCAGGGGCGGCCCGTCCATACAGACGAACTGGGCGGTCGCCTAGGGCACCAAGTTAAATGGGGCGCCGAATTATGGTGCAGTATCATTGAGGGGTTTGGAGGTGGGGGTGCCGATTGCATGGTCTGCCTAGGGCACCAGTTGCTGACAGCTAGTCTAGGGTCACACCTGAGAAGAGTCTTTTTCCTGGAGAGAGACATGTCTTCTGTCTCCCTCAATATCTAGGGAGCAAACTGGCTCAGAGACAAAGGAGGCAAAACCCCCAAATTCCTTTGTCTCAGTTTGAAATCCCTACCTGAATTTCTATTGGCTGACCAGATACCTGGCTAGGTACAGAGGACATAGTTAACCCCTTAGTCCGCAGTCTGCTGGCCATCCCTCATGGTTATGACAGGGTCTCATGTAAAAAGAGGGAAAAAAGAAAATTTAAGGGTGTAGGAAGAGCAATAAGAAGTGTTGGCTGTAAATTACTCCTACTCCAGGAACTTTCCTCCTGTAGCGAGGGCACCCCTGGCTTTTCCACGACCTCTTTCTCTTCTCTCTGCAACTTGATGAAAATCAATATTTCACAAATACTGCTTTCCAGCCGTACTGACACCACAGTTGCTCTCAAGAGGGATGGAAGGAAATGGCTTAACATCCAAATTAATCTCCTGCCTTAAAATGAGATTTAAAGCCAGATGTTTCTAATAGGCTTGTGGATCTCAGCCATTTCTGAAATTGTACCCACATACCAGGAAGAGACATCCAGTGTCCAATTTATCTTCCATACTGTGTGTCCTCTCATTCCCAACACCTCCATGCTACAGTCTTGCATTCACCAAAGAAGCTCTAGCAGCTGCTTATTTGGTTACACTAGCACGAACAACAAAATAGGAGATGAAAAGAGACAATACTGTGGGCTCACCTCTGGAGAGCACAGTGTGAACTGAACAGATTACATCATGGCATTCATACTGCATAGCATGGCTACAAGTGCGATCAGGGATAGAACTCACACCCGTCTGTTTCAAGAGCAATGGACAGGACATGCAGCTATCCTGTCTTTCTGTTTCTGTGGGCTACTAGGTACAAACCCACCCAGCAGTTTGTTATTATCTTTATATTGCAGTAGCACAGAGGTGGGCAATAATGTTTGCTAGGGGGCCACACCAAGATTTTGGTAAGTGGTCAAAGGCCCCTCGTATCTATGGAAGGACTGCAGGGTCTGGAACAGAGAGTGGGTGCAGAATGGAGCTTGGGGTAGGGGACTGGGTGAGGGGGAGTTTGGGTGAAGGAGGGCGTTGTGACCTGGGGCAGGGCTTTGGGATGCATAGTCCAGGAGGGAGGGAGGCTGCAGGACAAAATTCTGACCTGGGGGAGGGGTGCAGGAGGGAGTGCAGAATTTGGGAGGGAGTGATGGTGTGGCAGGAGGTTGGGTGCAAGAGGCAGGCTCTGGCTGGGATGCGCTTACCTAAGCAACTCCTGGCCAGCAGCACTCTCAGGCAGGCTTCCTGCCTGCCAGCATCCCCAGAAATTCCATGTGGCTTTCTGCCCTGCAGCACGAGGCTTTGCACACTGTCCCCGCCCCCAACAAAATCTCTCAGCTGCCATTGGCTGAAAGATTTTGCTGGGGGTGGGGACAGTGTGTGAAACCTCCCCCTGCCTGTACAGCCAGGTGTTACAGTTCCTGCCCCAAAGCCACTCACATGCTTGAGTAGATATGACATATCATCTAACAGGAGAGGTGTTACTACTGCACTCTCAGCTCAGATACTCGAGCATCTCACCAGAGGCAGGGGAGAACACATGGTAACCTCAGCGCACTCAGCGACCCATGTTAGACTCAGCTGCATGATGTAAGATGGGAGAGACCCCTGGAAGAGTTTGTGGCCCACATGTCAAAGCTTGGCTGCGCTCCACAGGTCTGGGTAGAAGTGGATCAGATATGAAATATTAAGGGACAGGCTCTATTTGTGTAGCTGCAGGGTGGAGAGGGATACATTTCCCATTGTGTCAAGGAGTAGCCGAAATTTCAGGGCTACTTGAGAGTGTGACACAGCCAGCAGTAATTTACCTTTATCTCGTCTCAGCTTTTCCAGACCTCCTCACTACAATGGTTATTAGTCATTTGCATTTGACAGCCTGCCTGGTAGTTGCAGTATGTAACTTTCGGCCTCTTTTGGAAGGAAATTCCTGATGCTCTCTCCCCAGCACTCCTTTGAGGTGGAGTTTCCTCTTGCAAAATAAATGTGATGAGTGTTGAAAATGCTATGTGGCCTAAAGTCAATTGGATCTGATGGCTGAAAGCTTTTGCTTCAAACACATACTTCATAAGCCTTATTTCCCTACCTCCCTAGCGCCACAGTCAGGACTTTCTGAAGATGCTATTGTTCCAGATCCTCTACTAAGCACTGCATGACACAATCCCACACAGCTATGCAAATAATTGCAAATGGGATGGCAAGGCCAAGCAGAGCTAGGCGGTCAGAACTCCCAAATTCTAGCCCAGGTTCAGTGATCGATGCTTCTCCCCAGATCAACCCGTCAAAATGAGAGAAAGCTTGCTGTATAGCCCAGCCCACCTGTATTAAGCTCATGCAAAGCTGAAAAGCACAGCTTTGTAACTTGCCATTCAGTCCCTTTCACTCTAGCAGTGTGTCTCAAATAGAGTTGCCAGGTGTCCGGTTTTGAACCGGACAGTCCAGTATTTGAGCTTTCTGTTCAGGAAACAAATTGAGAAAATGGAAATGTCCAGTATTTTCTAAATAAGATGTAATGTAGATTGTGCTGAAATGTCAAGTGTGTCTGGTATTTTTGTTGAAACCATCCAGCAACCCTACTCTCAAAGTGGGCCCACCGCCGTAAGCTGTGAGTGGGCCAATGCTTCTTTGTTCATCTAAAGAGTCTGTTGCCTCAAAACCTCGCAACTCCCACTGGCTGCGGTTGGCTGTTTCCAGCCAAGGGAAGTTGCGGGAATAGAAATTCAATGGAAGCACTGGTGTCCAACAGAAGTTGAGAATTCAGTTGAAAAATCTTGGCAGCCTTTGACAATCCCAGTCTGAGCAGACTGGAACATGAACTGCCGTCTGTACAGTAAAGGTACCTGGCCATGAAATACACACAGAAATATACTTTATTTGCTTTCTACATACATTTCTGTTGTGTATGAAACTACAGCTGGATTATCCTATATTTACATGCGTTTTTACTTGTGTCCATATGTTTTCCATCTGGGAAGATTCTGGACTCTGAAAAAGACAGGCTTATTGTTACAAAATATTAATTTAAGAGCTATGCAGGGCCCAGTCTTGCACACCTGCTGTATCTAAAGAAATGGGCTTGTCCCTATGTAACAACTAGGGACATTAGTAACTGATATCTACAAACAAAAAGACAAAGTGCTGATTAACCACAACACACTGCCCACTTGTTTGTCGAGGTGCTAAAACCACTCAGCAGAGTCAGGCCTTTAAATATTATGGGATGGGATAAAGGTCAAAGTGCAGGCCTGGAAGTTTGGAAATGCTGAGGTCTAATCCTCGTGCCAACATCAACTACCTTAGCCAGTTGGGGGCTGATTTTAAAAAATACTGATCACCTGCAGGTTCAGCTGGTGTTATTGGTGCTGAGCATTTCTGACAATCAAGCTGTAGCCTGTCCTGACTCTGTTTCCTTGTTATTTTAATATCTTAACACAGTGACGGGAGGTGTTCTAGAAATTCATGAACAGATTCAGTGATTAAGAAAGCTCTGTAAAACGTAAACGGGGATAATACTTAACTACCACACAGCAGGGGAGCGAGGATTAATAGGTTAATGTTTGCAAAGCACCTCGAAGATGAAAATCTATAAGCTTTATTACATCTGGTGCACAACGTAAATAAGAATACAAAACGGTACCCTGATCTGAGGCTGTAGCTTTTAGCATCGCTGAGGATATATCTACAAAACCTATGAAACAAGCTTCCTGGACCAACTCAACAGACATGGCCCAACAGGGCTCACAAAAGCGGTCTGAAAACAGCTGTGCGGCCAGTGCTATGGTGTGTGCGAGAGCTCCGGCTCTGATGCCTAGGGCGAGAAGCGAGCTTCCAAGCCTGAGCCACAACTTCTAAGTGCTGTTGTCTGCCCAGATTTTCACAGAGCACTAGCATGCTAGGAGGGGGGGGGTCAACATACACCTCGAATGTCACAGCAAAGTGGGTTGTGCCCACAAAAGCACGATACTATCTACATTTTTTGTTAGTTCCCAAGATGCTGTTGGATACGTCTCGTTTGCTTTTTTAACGTTTTTACAGTAAATAAGGTATTTTAGTCCTATAGAAACCAGTCTTACAGTTCACCATGAATGGTACCTGAGAACATGTAGCTATGGCACTCTTAGTACCTCTCCCAGACCTGGAGAGCTCTGTGTAGCTTGAAAGCTTGTCTCTTTAGACAACAGAAGTTGGTCCAATAAAAGATGTTACCTCACCCACCTTGACTCTAAGTTCATACTCAGTCAGAAATCCCCTTGGTGTTCTCTGGACTACATATTTTGCTATAATTTCTTTTGCTGTTTTTATTGCACTTACATTTTCTCCTCTCTCATTCTTATGCACAGGTCTTAGGCTGTGTCTAGACTACACCCCTCTGTCGGCAGAGGGATGTAAATTAGGCACTTCAAAATTGCAAATGAAGTGGGGATTTAAATATCCCGCGCTTCATTTGCATAATCACATAAAGGTGCTCTTTCGAAAAAGTGCTATTTTGAAAGTTAAACCGCAGTCTAGACGCGGTTCTTTCGAAAACAGAAGCCTTTTTCGAAAGATCCTGTACTCCTCAAAAAATGAGGTTTACAGGATCTTTCTTCGAAAAAGGCTTCTGTTTTCAAAAGAACTGTGTCTAGACTGCGGTTTTACTTTCAAAATAGCGCTTTTTCGAAAAAGCGCCATTACGTGATTATGCAAATGAAGCACGGGATATTTAAATCCCCGCTTCATTTGCAATTTTGAAGTTCCTAATTTACATCCCTCTGCCAACAGAAGGGTGTAGTCTAGACACACTCTTAGGGTAATAAAAATGGCTGCAGTGGCACTTTGCAAAAAGCAGCAGTCTAGACGGGGATCAGTTGACAAGGAAAGCCTTTTCCGACCGATTCTGTAAACCTTGCTGCACAAGGCATAAGGGATCAGTTGGAAAAGGCTTTCCTTGTCGACCGATCCCCATCTAGACTGCCTCTTTTTGCCGGCAAAGTGCCGCAGCGGCAAAAAGTGGCGGCCATTTCTATTCAAATGAAGCATGGGATATTTAAATTCCCGCTTCATTTGCAAGAGCGATGTGCCTAATCTACATCGGTCAATAAAACTTCTCCTGGACTATGACAGCTGGACCCCACAGCCCATGCAGGAATCTAATCTGTCTATTGGATTTTGATTACGCAACTCACAGTAACTCAGGTCCTGCCCTCACTGAGAATTTATGACAATCTCAGACAATATTCACAGATAGCCCAAGCACTGAGAGGCAGGACAGGAGGTTGTATCGATTTGTAACCTTGTCCTGACAGGTCTATTCAGCCTCCAAGCTAAAATCTGAATTTTTTACTAGCACAAAGTCTACTGGATCCTGAATGATTCCTCAGTCCCCCCCAATTTGTGGGATCCTTTCCTCCTCTACCAATGTGAGAGCTTCTAAAGGAGAAACGCCTCAGACTTCTTGGCCTGGCCATGTTTGTTTTGCTGTTGTTTGCTTCGTGGAGCTGTTGAGACTCATTCCTATGATGCCTTTATAGTTTGAGCATCAAGACTGAAAAAACTAGACGGATGGATGGATTCCAACTAGGAATGTGAGTGAGTAATCGGGTAGACGATTAACCAATAAGCCTAGGCTTATCGTTTAATCTAGTCAACTACTCCCCCCCTCCCTCCCCCGTTGCCTCTGAATCAGAGGCAGCAAGGGGGAGAAATCAGGAGACGGTGCTGGGGGGAGCCAGCTTAAGCCAGTTTCCCCCAGAACGGGCTCTGTGGTGCCGCAGCTTCGCAGAGAGCCTGGGCTCACCATGGACAGAGGTTGTTTCTGGGCCTTGTATAGGCAGATGCTGCTTCACAGCAGCAGTCCCTGTCCACAGGGGGTCTAAGCTGGAGCAGCCTCTGTCTGTGGGGAGCTCATTCCCCTGCCATGGAGAGGGGCTGCTGCCCCCCCCGCCTATGATACAGAGGCAGCAGCGCATGGTGGCAGGCAGCTGGTTTGTGAGGGGAGCTGGTTTTTAAACCGGCTCCCCTCATGGGCCAGCTTCTGCCTGGCACCCCGTGCTGCTGCTACTGATACAAAGGCAGCAGTGCAGGGTGGCAAGTGGCTCACCAGGAGTGGGGCCAGAGCTGCTGGCTGCTGGCCCTGCCCCTGGGGACTACAGAATAGCCGACTAACCACTAAGATTCATGCAGTTAGTTGACTATTCTACTACCTGCTACCTAACATCCCTAATTCCAACTCCTAAGGAGTCTGCAAGACCTTTCCAAGGCAAGTAACCAGGCTATTGTATACTTACTATGTGGGGAGCTTTCAGAGGAAGCCTTGAAACCATGAATATTGCCTGCTTTGTATGGACTTTCTAGATTCATAGATTCTAAGTTCAAAAGTGACCATTTTGGTCATCTAGTCTGATCTCCTGTATAACACAGGCCATAGAATTTCTACAGCATCTCTCTTAGAAGAACATCCAATCTTGATTGAAAACTTGTCTGTGATAGAGAATCCACCACAACCCTTGGTATATTGTTCCAATGGCTAATTCCTTTGACTATTAAAAGGAATACTGTTTATTTCCAGTTTGAATTTATCTCACTTCAACTTCCAACCAGTGGATCTTTTCATACATTCCTCTGTGAGACTGGACAGACCATTACTAACTATTTGTTCCCCAATAGGCAGGGCTTGCCAAGCTGCGGCGAGCCCAAACCCGGCTCTTCCGGGTTGTAATCTACTCACCCCGGGTGAGTAGATTACATAGTTTGTCGAGCCCTGCCAATAGGTATAATCTGTGATCAAGTTACTTCTTAGCCTTTGCTTTAAGCTAAATAGACTGAGCTTCTGAAGTCTATCACTAAAAAGTATGTTTTATAATGCTTTAATAACTCTTGTGACACTTCTCTAAACTCCAATGTAGCCATATCCTCTTGTGTCATTGGCACCAGAACTGAACACAGCATTCCAGTAGCCATCACACTCTTGCCAAAGTGAAAGTGGGCTAGTACGATGCACCAGAAAGAACCAGCTGCCAGCACTGGCCTGGACAAGTCAGCACTTTAACGACCCTTTCCTTCAAGCACTGCTAAAGCACTGCCACTTTAAGGTCGCTGCCCTTTTTCTTCTACCCTGTCTCCACGCACCCAATCAGCGGCCCTGCTGGTAAGGTTCTTTCCACTCAACTTCCTTGCATTCTTGAATCATCAGATCAGTTTAAACAAGTAACTGCAATGAGATTCCATGCATGTGTTGCAGTGAAACAAGGTTAAAGGTTGGGGATACATAGTCCGTGTATCATTTTGAATACAAGGATGCTGTTAGCTTTGTGTGACTCAACACTGACACCTACAGGCCACTCATGAAGAGAGATAGGAAAAGAGATTAATTCAACTCTCTGCCCCAGGCAAAGGCAGCAGCAAGGTAACCACAAATCTTGAGAGATGAGAGACACATTTTCACTCCACTTGCAGCCTAGGCCCTGAGTTCAAGGAGCAGCTCTGCCTCTGTCTGACTGGGGAAGGGTTTTTTTTTATCATATCCCTGCCTATCCTGAGGGGTTTGGCCAGTGGTCTTCGGCTTAATGTGGGGAGAGGCAGGTGTGTCATGGAAGCCAAAGTGACACTGACCAGGACAGCAGGAGACAGGCCAAGTTGGCTGGAGAGGCGACGGTTCTGGAGCCCAGAGCCCCACACCTGTCTGGAATGATATGAACAGAGTCCTTTTAAGCCAGGCAAGTTTTTTGTATCTTGCCTTAGTTAAAAAAAAAAGTTGGGAATTCATCACATTTTAGGGTGCTCCTCCCTATTCACAGAAATGAACTTTGTCTCCTGCCTAGGTAGCTTTATGCCCAATCAGAAGGAGCCAGGACCAGCAGCATGTAAATCTGCATCAACAGGTTGCTGCAGAAGTTCCAAGAAGTTCCTGGAAGAAGTGAACACCAGCACGCTGCTAAAGCTTTTGGCAGGGAGGAAGAACATACCAAGCTAGCAGGAGGAGCCACCTCTGGCTGTGGAGGGAGAATGCAGGTGGTGCAGTATGTTTGGGAGGTAGATACACAGGCCATGTGCTGAGGATCTAGCTGCACTGTTATTCATATGTAATTCTAGGGTACTGTGTCAGCTCAGCATCCATCCATTTCAACCAGTTACTCTGACAGGTGTATCTATGTGCAAGTATCAAGGGAACTCTTACATCTCTAAGACGTATCTGAAAATAATATTTTGGCTTTCCACTCATGCCACATTTGCATCTTGCCTCTCTCATCTCTCCCATAGACCCTCTCTAACTTTCCTCTGCCCACCTCTTGCACAAATACAGGTTTTTCTGCCGCATAAAACCAAGGAGACAGGGTGGCTTCAGTCAAAAAAGAAATCCCATTCAGCATGCAGAGAGGGGTAGGTCTAATAGGTACAGTACCTTACTGAGAGTCACACGAGTTGGGTTCTATTTCAGGCTCTGGTACTGTGTTGCTTTCCCCTCTGTGCCTCATTTTTCCCCATCTGTAAAATGGGGATCTAGACATTTTCCTAGCTTACCTGGAAGTTTAACTCATTAGTATTTGCAAGGGTTGGTGAGATCTCTGGAAAGACGGAATTAGACATTGACACAGTCATATTCTTATAATATAGTTCCCTCCACAGATGAATGAAAAATAAAATGTAAGGCTGCTTACTGTGTCTGTAGTGTCCTAAGGGGTTTGCTCCTAACTGAGCTCACATCCAGTTCCAGAAATCTAGGGATATCTGGGAAACCACCAGCTTGAGACCAGAGCAATGACATAGGAGGTTTTGGAACAATAGGGAAACTGTGAGAGATGACATCAGTCCTCCATACTGACTCCATCTGGTCACCAACCTGCTCACTGCAGGAGCACAAGAACACAATCAATTAGAAGTGACAGAAACTACTTGGCTACAGCCTCATTAAGACAGTAATGTGGTAGGCCAAGCCATGGGCTCCTGATTCACCCCAGAATGTTCAGACAGGCCCCTAAAGCTGGGCATTAAAACCCATATTTAAGCATTTACATTAGTGGCCCAGAGTTCAAAGGACTTCAGTAGGAGGCAGAGCTGAGAAGTGCCACCCACAATTAAACTCCATGGCTGAGTAGCAAGTGAGGTTGGTCTGGGGATTGGGCTTCATATTGTGATTGGCTGCCCTGGAGTCTGAAGTCTTCTGTTTAGCCAGAGCAAGAACAGAGAGAAAGGGAAAAGGTGAATAACCAAGATGGGAACACAGAGGAGTCTTTCTCTGGCTGGAGGTCTTGAAATGTGAGTCAGTGAAAGGGAGAGAGGCCAAGTGGGATGCTGGGGCTCGATCCTGGCAGATGCTGAGCATCCTCACAAAGTCAGTGAGCAATGAGAGTTGTGGGGGCTCAGGATCTCAGAAGAGGCAACTAGTACCTCACAGGATCAGGTCCGCAATGGGGACTTGAGTGTTACACCATAATTGGGCAGGGGGACTTAAGAGCACACCATAGCAGGGCAGGGTGTGCTCATAAGGGCTGCTTTGAGTATTTCCAACCCCCATATACCTGACTCCAGGCGGATGCATAAATGCTCCAACTTTCTTCATACTTGCCAAGGGGCTTGGATAGCCAGGGGATTTGGACCTGGCACAGACCGAGGACTGGAACTCTTTCATTTCATCCACTGCTTTGATCAGGAGAGGGGATGGGCTGTTGAGCTGGAGTTCAGAGCTCAGGCGGAGCTAATGTAACAACAAAGAAAAGGAGTGGTCACCTTTCCCTTCTCTCCAGCTACATCTACACTGTGGTTTTTTTGCAAAAGAAGAAATGCAAATAGAGTGCTCATTTGCATATCTTCTTCCAATCCTTTTTGCAGAAGAAGTTTTTGCGATAAAAATCCCCATGTAGACAGGGCCATTTGTCAGAAAAAAAAAACCTTTTGCGCAGTGAGGTTTACGGGTATAACCGTAATGGGAATGTAACAAAGCTCCTCATTTCACACACAGTGGGTCCTGTGCTTCTGGGTGGCAGTAGGCTGAGTAGTCTCTCTCCCTGTCCAGGGAATATGGAAACTCCCAGTCTAATTGCTCACCTCAGTGGCTCATTAAAGCTCTCAGTCTAACCCCTTTACTTCAGGGGCAAGCTGTAATCTGATTTAGCCTCTCTCATCATTGGCGTAGCAAAGAGAGGGAAAAATCTCTTAGTCTCTAGTGGCCTCTCTGAACGTGGACAGATTAGATTTCATAATGCAGTCTCCCTCCCTCTAGCTGGAGTTTATGTCCCTCGGATTTCTGGGGCCTGAAGGGGCTGTTCCCCAGCAAAGCTTGCCCTGCCTCTCACCTATGTATCTGCAGGGTTCTCTCCTGGTACCTGCCAGCATCTCTACAGTTCCTATCTGATTTAGCCTCTCTCATCATTGGCGTAGCAAAGAGAGGGAAAAATCTCTTAGTCTCTAGTGGCCTCTCTGAACGTGGACAGATTAGATTTCATAATGCAGTCTCCCTCCCTCTAGCTGGAGTTTATGTCCCTCGGATTTCTGGGGCCTGAAGGGGCTGTTCCCCAGCAAAGCTTCCCCTCCCTCTCGCCTATGTATCTGCAGGGTTCTCTCCCGGTACCTGCCAGCATCTCTACAGTTCCTGTTCTCCTGCTGTACATTCTTCTCCCACCACTCCTAGGCTGTGTCCAGACTCAGGGTTTTTTTCGAAAAAAGTAGCCTTTTTTAGAAAAAACTTCCCCTGCGTCCAGACTCAAGCCGCGTTCTTTCGAAATTAATTCGAAAGAACGCGGCTTTTCTTTCGATGGCGGTAAACCTCATTTCACGAGGAAGAACGCCTTCTTTCGAAAGTTCCTCTTTCGAAAGAAGGCGTTCTTCAATGTAAATAGGGCGTCTTCAAAAGAGAGCATCCAGACTCACTGGATGCTTTCTTTCGAAAAAGCAAGCCGCTTTTTTGAAATTTCTCCGTGCAGTCTAGACGCTCTCTTTCGAAAGAGGCTCTTTCAAAAGAAGCCTGCAGTCTAGACATAGCCCTAGTGTGCCACTAAACTGACTAAAGGGGGGGGGGGTTAACCAGTTCCTGACGCTCTTTGATAGACTCCAGGTGTCCCCGAATCAAACCTAACTGTTTCAATGACAAACTGAGGACAAGCAAACAGAGGGAATTTGCCTGGGAACCATCCTAGGGAAACTACAGTGAGTCACAACCCAGCCCCCCCAATGCAGCACTCTAATTGTCAGCCAATGGGAGTAAATATCTGAGTGTCTCTCGGCTGTGACCATTTGTTGGACTGGAGCTAGTTGCAGGAACTGTTTTGACCATATGTCATTTGTTTGTTTGATTGATTATTTGAAAAGTGTAACTGCTTGACCATGTATTTGTTTGAAAAGTGTGAACTGGGGGTGCTTTGTTCCAGGTGGGCCTTGAGTTTTGGATTGGAGGGAAGGCTTCGAGCCAGACCAACTACTTCAAGCATGCAGCCTTATGAAAAAGGAGCCAGTTGCAAACTGAGGAAGTTTGCCTGGGAACCATGGGAGAGGAGGTATGGGGTGTCTTGTGAGCTGGTCAAATGTCTATGTGTTGTAACCATTTGTTTGACTGGAACTAACTGCAGGGAATGTTTCAAAAGTTTTTGCTTGTTTCAGAAGTGTTACTTTGACTGTTTGTATGTGTGTTTGAAAAGTGTGGATTGGGAGTGCTTTGTTCCAGGTGAGTGGTTAATCAGAGGGAAGGCCTTGAGCTGAGCTAACTGTTTTGAGCCAGTTGCAAACTGAGTGAGCAGCAAACTGAAGGCAGGCAAACAGGAAGTTTGCCTGGGAGTTCACCTGGGGGGAGTTCCCATAGTGTTTTTGTGCCTTTCAGGGTTCTGTGAGCAGTAAACACAACATCTGAAGAGGTTTCTAGAAGGAAAACTATATAGATCAGCTGTTGTAACCTGTGCCATATTTGTCTTTCTCTCAGGAGACAGAAGCGATTTCATCTGTACAAAGTGCAAGCTGGAAGAGAAGGTTAAAGAATTAGAGGCCCAAGTAGCTACCCTGCATTGCATCAGAGAGAATGAAGACTTTCTGGATAGAAGTCAGTGTTTGGTACTGCAGGCACTGCATGCTGAAAAATGAGAGAGCAGTGCAGAGCAGGGAGGAAGAGTGGCAGCCTGTGACCTCTAGATTAGAAGAAGAAAGGGGTTAGAAACTGTTTTCAGGCTCTCTGCACAAGTACTACAGCAGAGCATGGTTTGGAAGAGCTATATGAGGAAAGGGATCAGAAGGAGGCCCCATTGACCAGAAGGCATGGGATGCACTGTGGTAGCGGTGGGGTTCCACAACCACCACTCCACAGAGGAGGGGATGGGTGGTGGTGATCGGGGACTTCCTGCTAAGGGTGACAGAGACATCCATCTGCCATCCAGACCGGGAAACTGAAGAAGAGAGCTACTTGCCTGGAGCTAGAAGTCAGCATGTGACGGAATGCCTACCAACACAGATCAAGACATGGGACTGTTATCCCTTCCTTCTTCTCCAAGTGGGCACCAATGATACTGCCAAGAATGACTGTTTGACCACTGTTTGTCTGTTTGAAAAGTGTGAATTGGGAGTGCTTTGTTCTAGATGAATCTCCAGGGGTTGATTGGATTGGAGGTAAGACTTTGAGCCAGGACACCTACTTCAAGCCAGCAGTCTAATAAAAAAAGCAGCCAGAGGGAAGTGCAAGATGAAAAGCAAACAGATGGAGTTTGCCTGGGAGTTCACCTCAGGGGAGCCCCACAGAGGTTTTTGGGTTTTTTTGTTTTCTTTTTTTTGGGGGGGGGAGAGTTGTTGTTTTTTCTCTCTCTTCTCCCCTTGAAGCTTCAGGGTGCAATACATTTCTGAGGAGTCTCTCAGAAGGAAAACAGTATGGATAGTGTGCCCCCATTACCAGAGAACCCAAGCTCCTCACAATCTGTCATGTATTTGTCCACAAAGTGCTCCTGTCAGGTAGTTATTATCCCATTTGCAGAGGGGTATCTGAGGCACAGTGATGATAAATGACTTGCCCAAGGGTCACCCAGGAAGTCTGTAGTAGAGTAGAGACTTGAACCAAGTCCTAAATTAGTATCCTAATCTCCAGACCATCCTGCTTCTTTGCATCCACAATTGATCCTCAATATTGTTCCAATTCCCTGGGAAACTAGAACTTGAGGATAGATGGGAAGTATCAGTAAAGTGACATTCACTCCTGTGCAGGCATCCAGGTCCAGACTACGTAAGTCCCACTTAAGAACTGGGAGCTCTGGGCATAGACCTTGTGCTGGCATTTCTGAATTGGGGATATTTCACCCTAACCCCTTAAAAGGTACTTTTCTATTCTTATCCTATTGGATATTTCTAATGTTAGAAACAAAAGTGACCAAGAAAAACCAAGGGCCACACTCTTCTCTTGGCTATGCCAGTGACGTCAGCAGGATTGTGTATGGGAAGGGAACCAAAAAGAGAACTTCACCCCCAAAACTCACTTGGGCAAACAAGGAAATCATCTTGCCAAGGCAGTGTCGTCGTGCCTGTTCTGCTGTTTTCTGCTTGGCCACCCAGCACTGCAGCACCTTTTTCCGGTAAGCGTCCACCCTCTCCACGTATGTGTACAAGTTCCGGACCTCAGCACCATCATTGACAGCTCTGGCAGCTTCCAATCGGGACATTAAGGTTTGTCTTGGAATAAGAAGAAAAATAATTACATTGTGAGAAATGTTTCCTCTCCACAATGGAAGAGAAAGAAACCAGACAACCTATTTATATAACATGGTGTTAGTTCTATTAGCAAGGGAGTGGAGAAGGAAATGCAAACTGAGGGGTGCTTTGAGTTTAGGGTTTAGTCACACATCCAGCCATTTCAGCTTTTCTAGGGTCCTATCATCTTAATTTCTAGGGGTACGTCTATACTACAGTGGAAGAGCGAAGCTGCTGCTGTCCATCTTTCAGGGTTCGAATTAATAGTCTAGTTAAGACAGGCAATTTGAAGTGAGAGGAGCACTCCAGTCGATGCCAGTAACCCTGCTTTCATGAGGAGTAAGGGAAGTCAAAGGAAGAGTGTTTTCCTTCAACTTCCTGCAGTGTAGACAGTGCTAAAACCCTAGTTACGCTACTTCGACTTCAGCTATGCAGTTAACATAGCTGAAGTTGCTGTAGTGTAGACATACCCTAGGTGTTGCAGTACCTTGTGTGGGTCTCTTTTAATTAGAGATGGTCCCAGACTACCTGGCATCCAACACTTTTGTCCTTTATGTTAATCATTGTCCTTTTCCCCTAAATTTACAGTGGGTTCAGGGTGGGATAAATGGACCTGGATTTAACCCGTCTGTAATTTTGAGACCAAGTTTTTCTCTCAGCTCACTACAATAGATCTCAGCCCTTGTATTATGGAGCATAGAAACCCCATTGATATCACTAGGTGATGAGACCATGTGGAATTTCCTTTGTGCTTCTTCAAGCCTTTATCTTTCCACCTTCCAAAAATAAAGAGAGAGGGTTGATAAGCTGATCTGACCAATTTAGGAACAAATCCAAAGAGGCACCAAGCACCCAGCATTTCCACAGAAGTAAAGGAAATGATCTGCCCATTGCTGAGCTAAAGCCCAATCCTGAGAGATGCTGAGCTCATTTTGCACTTTTGTTCTGAGACCAGTGAGAATTCAGCAGAAGCAGACTTTAATGGATGATATGCATGCCCATCACCACTGATTCACTGAACCTCATCCTGGTTCCCTGGGGAACAGCCAAAGCCGCTCTCCTTTGTAGAATACCACGGGGCAAGGATATTTCAGAGTGGGTCAGTATTTTAGGTACATCTGCACTGCAGGGTTTTTATCCCGGAAAAGCTCTGCTGCGTCCAAGGAACATTTGCTCTTCTGCGTTTGCTCTTCTTCTTCTGCGTTTACTCTTCTGTTTTTGGGGTTTTTTTTTGCGGAAGAGCAAATGCACTTTTTTGGGGATAAGAGCTCCACCAAAAGAGGAGGCTTTTCCACCATTTGGCTCCATCTAGATGGGGCCAAATGGTGGAAAAGCCTCTTCTGGAAAAGTGGTAGGAAAAAGCTACGCAAATTGCAGAGCACAATTTGGCTACGTCTACACTGGCCCCTTTTCCGGAAGGGGCATGTTAATTTCAGCTATCGTAATAGGGAAATCCGCGGGGGATTTAAATATCCCCCACGGCATTTAAATAAAAATGTCCGCCGCTTTTTTCCGGCTTTTAGAAAAGCCGGAAAAGAGCGTCTACACTGGCCCCGATCCTCCGGAAAAAGCGCCCTTTTCCGGAGGATCTTATTCCTAGTAGCTGAATAAGATCCTCCGGAAAAGGGCACTTTTTCCGGAGGATCGGGGCCAGTGTAGACGCTCTTTTCCGGCTTTTCTAAAAGCCGGAAAAAAGCGGCGGACATTTTTATTTAAATGCCGTGGGGGATATTTAAATCCCCCGCGGATTTCCCTATTACGATAGCTGAAATTAACATGCCCCTTCCGGAAAAGGGGCCAGTGTAGATGTAGCCTTTGTGTATTTTTTTCCGAAAAAAATCCTACAGTGTAGACCTAGCCTTTGTGTGTGTGGAATTCTAGGAAAGGGAGGGGCACGAATCGGCACCTCACTTATTCTAAAGGACCTCAGTATTTGTGCCATTGGCTTCTCTAGGAATTTGCCTGTGTAAAAGGCCTGCTTCCATTTAACTCAATGTTCAGGCCCACACTGGCTTTGATAGCAGCAGGTTTAGGCCCTTAGCAAGAATTTGGCCCCATGTGCATACCATTAGTCTGCATATATTGGTACCTGACATGCTGGAGGTGGCAGAAGGAGATGTATTTGTGGAAGAGGAGAGCCAGCCTCTCAACATCCGTGTGCAGGGTCTCAGTGATAAACGACTTTGCCTGCATGTGCAGGAGTGGGGGTAGTCTACACTTTCGGGTCGCCTGGCCCAGCAGCACCAGGTTCTCCCTCTGTGCCTCCACATCCACCCAGTACCGCTTCTCTGACATGCTGCTCTTCTCTTTGGTCTTCTGAGCCACGGTGGTTTCCTCAGTGAACTGAGCTTGAGAGTGCAGGGATATTTTGCTCTGTGTGGGAACCATCTGCTGGGCAGAAGGCTGGAAACGGCCGTACAGTAGGACCTCTTCCTTGGCAGTCTCTCTCCTTGGCCTTAATGGGATCTGTTTTGTCAAGTGTTCGGGGGCCCCAGGCTCTCTGCTCTTGGGAACGGATTTAGACCTTGGGATCAGGTATTGCTCCTGCTCCTCCTGCATCTGCTTTTGCTGTAGCTCTTGCTCCTGCCACTGCCTCAGCTGAAGGTCATGTTCTTCCTGCTCCTGCTGCCACAGCTGCCGCTGCTCCTCATACTCCTGCCTCTGCTGCTGCCAGGCTATTGCTTGCTTGCGCTGCTTCACTTCTCGCTGCAGCCACTTCTTCAGTTGAAGGTCATGCTCCTCCTGCTCCTGCTGCCACAGCTCCTCGTGCTCCTCCACCTGCTGCTGCCAGTGTCTCGCCTGCTCCATATGCTCCTGCTCCTCTTGGTGCCACAGTTTCAGCTGCTCCTCGTGCTGCTCTTCCTGTTGCTGCTGCCACAGCCTCTGTTGCTCCTCATGCTCCTCCTCCTGCTGCCGCCACAGTTTCAGTTGCTCCTCATGTTGCTCCCGCTGTTGCTGTTGCTCTGCCTCCTGCTGCTGCCCCAGCCTCTGCCGCTCCTCCTGCTGCTGCTGCCACAGCCTCTGCTGCTCCTCATGCTCCTCCTGCTGCTGCTGCCACAGCCTCTGCTGCTCCTCATGCTCGTCCTGCTGCTGCTGCCACAGCCTCTGCTGCTCCTCATGCTTTTCCTGCTGCTGCTTCTCTTCCTGACATTGCTGACGTAGCCTCTGCTGCTCGTCCTCCAGCTGCTGCTGCCTTAGCCTCTGCTCCTCAGCTTGTTCCTCCAGCTGCTTCTTCCACTGCTTTTGCTTCTCTTCCTGCCCTTCCTTCAGTGGCTCCTGCGCCTCCCACTGATGGTCCTCCTGATGCAGCTGCTCCACCTTCCCCTTTATTTCTGGCTGCTGCTGCTGAGGCTGTGGTGACTGCCATTGCATCTGATATTCCTGCGTCTCCTTCTGCCACTGCTCCTGCTGCTTTTGATTAGGAAATGGAAATTGCATGGCGATATTGGGTTCCTTCCATAGTGCTACAGGGAGTCCCCATTGTGAGATCACAGGAATTTTGGACTCCAAAAAGGAACCGTTGGGGCCACTCAACT